ACATAGATTTTTCTAGAGAATCATCAACGATCAGAAGATAATATTTAAAATGAGTTAAAGTACACACAGAAGCAGGAACCTATAGATCATCATGCAAATATTCAAGTATTTGTTTGAATTTATTAATTCTAGGTAAGAAAAATAAATTGACTTGATTCCCTATCACACATGTTCACAAGAACTAATATCATCAAGATTTTGATTTTCAAAGACTTGTTTATTTTGTAAAGACTTTAAACTTTTCTTACCAATGTGGCCGAGTCTTTCATGCCATAATTTTGTTAAAGTAAAACAGTTGTAGTCAAACCAAGTAGAGGTTTAGCTTTCAAAAAATAGAGACAATGTCCCTTAGGGATGCTAATCATCAAATCAATGCCCCTAAGAATCTTAATATGTCATTGACCCAATTTTACGTTAAATTCTATGTCATCTAACATGCTTAGAGATACAAGATTCATCTCTAAATCAAAAGCATATCTAGTTCTTCTCAGAAGTAAAACATTACCATATGGGTGTCAACGAGTTGAGTCGAGTCGAGTTGCGAGCCAAAACTTTTTGCTCAGGCTTGGTTCGAGTAAAAATACTACGAGGTTTTTTTTGGCTCGAGATGAGTCTAGCAAAAGTTCGGCCAAAAAAATTAGACTCAACCCGACCTTTCGGTTCGGGCCTCAGCTAGCTGAGCTGGGCCAGGCCCTGGCTGGCTTCGATTTTTTTTTTTTTAAATTCGTGACAAATCTAATTTTTTTTTAAAAAAATTAAAATTTGTACAATTTATGCGTATTATAAATAATAACTAAATATTAACATATAAAAAAATATAGTTAAAATTAAAAGAAAAAAAAAGAAGTGGCAGGTGAGTTTTTTTTTAAGCTCGTGGGTTGGCCCATCAAGCCACACGGGTCGGCCCTGCTCGAGCTGACGCCCCAAAATGGGACTGAGCCCGAGCCTCGAACCGACCCAGCTCGGGCTTTTTTGTGCCGAGCCCGAACCATTTTGCCATCCCTACATTACCATTTTGAAGTAATAGTTTTACAGTTCTTATTCTATTTACTTTACATGTCATGTTATTTTCCATTATTGCTTGCTCTCAAGTGGTTTTTTTTCTAAAATTCAAGAAACTAGTTTTTATTTGGGCACATACGGAAGAAATAGCCTAAATTAAGTATCCATTCATT